TGTCTTTTTATTACTGTTTCATTAACTGTTGCAACTCTTCGTAAAACAGTAAAACGGTATTTAAAACTGAATCTGGAATTCATCGGACACAAATATATATAATTAATTTGCACGAAATAATTCTAACAATTGACATCAAGAGCCTGTCACTAAATACACCTAGTGAGATTTTGGGAACTAATTACTCTTATTTTGTGCAGATATGAATACCCAACGAGAAGGAGCTTCAACTACTCGTCCACCTCTCCTAATCGGCTCCAACTACTCATACTGGAAATCAAAAATGAAGATGTTTATCAAATCCATAGATGAGAGAGCATGGCGCGCCATCATAACTGGTTGGACACCTCCCATGATCAAAGGAGAAGATAAAGTGGAAGTATTCAAACCAGAAGCAGATTGGAGTGATGGAGAGATACTACTCGCAAACTACAACTCAAGGGCCCTAAACGCGATCTTTAGTGGTGTTGATGATAATCAATTTAAACTAATAGCTTCGTGTGAATCTGCAAAAAGAGCTTGGGAAATCCTTCAAGTCACATACGAAGGAACGTCAACTGTAAGGACATCCAAGTTACAGATGTTGGCCACCAAATTCGAAAATTTGAAGATGGAGGAGAATGAGACGATCACTGACTTCCATGCTAAACTATGTGATATCTCCAATGAATCATACGCGCTCGGTGAACCCTACTCGGAAAGCAAACTAGTGAGAAAAGCGATGCGCTCATTACCTGAAAGATTTGCTTACCGAATTGCTGCCATTGAAGAAGTCAGGGATGTTGACACGCTCAAACTAGACGAACTCATGGGAAAACTTCTAGCACAAGAACTCAATCATGGTGAAAATCATCGTGAAAAGCCTAGAGAAAAGAAGATAGCCTTTCAAGCAGAAACTTCATATGCAACACCCCAAAATTCATCAACTCAAGAAGATGAGCAGACGGTAGAAGAATCCTTGGCACTACTATCGAAAAACTTTGGGAAATTTCTCAAAAAAATCGGTAAAAGGGGAAACCTTCCCAACACAGGGAAACCCGTGAACTTGCAAAACTCTAGGAGAAATTCAAATCAAGATAACTCAGAGGAGTCAAAACCGAGAAGAATACAGTGCCGAGAATGCGAAGGCTTTGGTCACATTCAATCAGAATGCGCAAACACCCTGAAGAAAAAGAAAAGAATGTCACTTACTACTGTTTGGAGCGATGAAGAAGAATCTGATGATGACCAAGGAAACAACGATCAAGTCACTAACTTTGTGGCATTCAGCAGCAAAGTTCCTCTGGACAGCTCAGAATCAACTGTTGCAACAGTCTGTAAAACAGAATCCAGGTATGAAAATGTGTGTTCTGATTATGACAAAAATCTAAACGAAAATTCTTCTTTTGCAGAGGATCCGAACAACAGCAGTGATGAGGAAGAACCAACCTTGGATGAAGTAAAGGAGGTATATGAAAAAATGTACCAAAAATGGCTCGACGTTGTTAAGGTAAATAACTTCCTGGAAAAGGAGAAGCTTGTACTTATAGAGGGAAACAAGACACTAAAGGTAAGAATCTCTACTCTTGAGGAGAGGGTCATATCTAGTGATCAAGAGAAAAATTGTTTACAGGCTAAAATTACTCAAACTCAAGAAGCAATTGCAAAATTGAACATTGGTAGAGGTAATCTAGATGAAATCTTAAACAACAATAAGCCAAACTATAATCGTCTAGGCATAGGAGGAAGTCAGCTACCCAAAGTTGATCTAAAGCGAAAGGAAGATCAAAACAGAAAAATCAACTTTGTTAAACAAGCTTCTGTCGCACAAACAGTTGCATTTGTTGAAGCAACGAAGCACCATTCAAAGAAAAGGTTTATTCCCACCTGTTTTTTCTGCCAAAATCCAGGTCACATACGCCCTAGATGTTTCAAATATTTAAAACTTGTGAAAAAACTAGTGGCTCGTTCTCTGTACTCTGCTAGGGCTGGTTACTTTCCCGCACCCTCTCAAAAACCCAAAAATAAAATTGATATTCAAATAGGCCTCAGCAAAAAATTTGGGTTGAAAAGTCCACGTT